ATGTGTCAACCCTACAAAGTCCTACAGGCATGTACTCGTTTAAATAAATTACTTTTTGAGTTAATTCATTCACTTGATTTGTGGAGCATATTTAAATTCGACGTGGTTTGAAACAAGCTTATACCGTCTCTCTAATTAATCAAATTAATATAGACAAATTGAGAAAATCTCTTTTTGCAGTCGCTTTAAAGATATTTCGATACGATTTTAGTATATGTGCTAACCCTACATAGTAGGGGGGAAAGGGATTGTTAGTAATGGAGACTGAGAATCCCATTACTAGCAATATACCCAACCAGGTCGACCTCTTCGCGGTTCCCTCTGGAAACTATCATGGTTAATTCCTAATGAATTCATCATGATGGGCTAACGGACCTGTTTACATTCTCATCAATCACTCTTCACTGGTACTCCGCCAGCGTATTCCGTTAGCGCAGGTGGGGTTACCATTCCACTTTCACCCATAAAAAAAAACCCTACATAGTAAGTGTATTAATATCTTTTGATTTCATTTAGATAGATAGAGTGAAGAACATATTTGAGTCCTACGTGATACCAAGGAAGCTTGTATCATTTCTAAAATTGTTCAAATTATATATTAATTGAGAACCTTTTTACAATCGCTTATAATTTTCAATTTTAGTATATGTGGCAACCCTACAGAAACCTATACATACGTACACATATAAATACCTTTTGATTTAATTAATTCACTTGATTCGCGTATTATATGAATGTCACGTACCGCGAAGCAAGCGTACCCCGTCACTACAATTGATCACATTAATACGGGTGAATTCAAAACCTACTTCTTTTTGCATCAATTTACAAGAAATTTAGAGTGGTATCACTGCATGCGTCAATAACTTTTTGTTTTGATTGATCGATTTTATTTGTATAGTATGTTTGGGTTTACAATGGTACGAAGTAAGCTTAGCAGTCTCTATAATAAGATTTACAATTATCGTTAGGGAAATGCAAATGTACACTTAATTTAAATATAAGAAAATATTACAACCTGAATATCAAACAACTTAGGCTTTTGTGATGTTTTAAGAGGGCTGCGGCCCATTCCTCGACCATTAAGTCTTCTTAGTCGCCAATTACGACATCCATGGGAAAGGAAAAGGTGGCCCATTCTATGTCAAAACCACAGAAAACTTAACATCAAAGGAGACGTGTCGTTTCCTTACCGTGTGGTCCCAGAATAGAATGGACCACCCTTTCCTTTCCCGTGTGCTCCTAATAGACCTATGTTCAGCAGGGGACAGATAATGGCTGATTTGCTGATATAATGACGATATTTTTTTAATGTTTATCGACATATTTCATCCATTTTAAAATAAGAATAAAGATGTAACTACATAGTTATAGGTAGGTACTTATTATTTTTACGAGTATACAGGTATAAAATAAATAACTGAAAAGCACGTACGTATCTGTGCCAAAAGTATGAAACCGAAAATAGTTATGCAGAGTGCGAGATGCAAACAAGCAAAGGTTTTTGTACTCAACCCCATTACGCTCAGCTGCGCTGTGACCCGTTTTTCAAACACAGAATTAAATCTCGTTGAAAAGCAATTGGGGGCAAGGCGACGAATTAGGAAATTGATTTTTTTTATTTTTAATAGTAACACTATTTACATCTATCCATCTGTATGCGTGCTACCATTTTTTTTATGATTAGTTTTTTGATGGTGTAATAGTTGATAATGGACAGTTACCCTTGCGCTGTCGGTATATACTGGCAGGGTACCAGTGAGGATAGATGATGATGAATTAGACAAGTTAGCCTATCGTGACGAATTCAACAGTAAATCAATCACAATGGTTTTCATTCAATGCTTTCAATGGTTGAATCCCTAATAAGGTATATTGCTAGCAATGGGATTGCTAATCTCCATTACTAAGAACCCCTTTTTCCCCCGCGCTACGGCTTTATGCTAAAAGGATACAAAAATAGATAATAAAATAGGTGATGAGGAAATCAGGTTAGTTGGGTCATTATAAATTCACCAGCAATTAATCACAATGGTTTCCAGTGAGACCACGTTGGAGTTGACCTAATATAAAGAGCCAGCGACGTGCCATTATACTCTGTTACAAGTAATATCGGAAAATGAAATTACTTCTTACAATATAGTATGCTGATTACACTGAGTATGGATACGTACTATCGAAGCTGTATACATTGTCATTCCAATACATCGAAATCAAATCAAGACCCTAGGGTCCCAAACGTATTGTAATTTAAATTATTCTGCGTGCTTGAATCGTTGCTTGGTTAACTTCCCTGGGGGCCTCGAAGAAAACCCTCCGAGAGATCGATTTCAAAAAGGAACATGAAGTATTCACTGTATTTTTGTGTGTATATTGATATAAATTATAGTTGAAAGCTTTCAGGCCCTTTTTAATTTTATAATAATTTTGTTCTATATATTGTTTGTTTGATTTATTATAACAAGAAATCTTGATATTTTATCAAAATCAAAATTTATTACATTAATTTTTATTTCATTAAAAAATATAACTTTCCATATCGGTTTACAACTAACGGAATTATGAGGTAACAAACATAAATATACAACTGAATTGAAAATCTTCTCATTTTTTGAAATCGGTTTAAAAGTGATGCAACCAGATTGAAAACCTCTTTCATTTTTAAGTCGGTTGAAAATAACTGGTTTAAATTGAAGTCGTTCCTTTCTGGTAACATATTGTAAATTGATGACAGTGTTTCAATAGTGACTGTATTAATTCTAAATAAAATTCTCACATTTTTATCATTCAACATACAATATATAACTGCTATAGTTGCCAATCCGCCTGTCAAGCATAGAAACTACTGGTAAAACCTCCCTTATGGAGGAACTAGAAGAGGGAGACTTTGTACAAAAGTCGATTGCTTAAGTACGTCTGTCCCATTCATATCATGGGGTATCATGGGCGAAACAGTGTACTCTGTTATGTCCATGGTACTGCTCATGTTTTTTTTTTTTACAACACAGGGGGCAAACGAGCATGCGGCTCACCTGATGGTAAGTGACTACCGCCGCCCATGGTCACCCACAACACCTACGGCATTGCAGGTGTGCTGCCGGCCTTTTAAAAAGGAATATGCTCTTTTCTTGAAGGTTATGTTGTCGTATCGGTTCGGAAATACTGCTGCTGGAAGTTGATTCCAAAGAGTGGTAGTGCGTGGAAGAAAGTGCCTTGAAAAACGCACGGTGGAGGACCGCCACTCGTCCAGATGGTTGGGATGAAATTTTAGTTTATGGCGGGTTGTACGATGGTGAAAATCTGCAGCAGGTATCAATCCGAACAATTCTTCAGAGCACTCCCCATGATAAATTCGGTAGAAGATGCACAGAGATGCAACATCTCTACGCAGTTTCAGTATTCTAAGTTGTATAAAAAAAAGCTATATTTAGCCGTGGACAGTTAACAGCTCATACAACTTTTTTTTATGCAACTTAGTTAATGGCAAACGAGCTGACGGCCCACCTGATGGAAAGTGGTAACCGTCGCCTATAGACATTAGCAGTACTATGGACATAACAACATACAATAGCTGAATTTAATTCCTGTACCGTGCGTATATGTAGTAAATTATAGCTGTGTTTAATTTTACTCTTGCTCTCTATATACAAATGAACAGCAGCATTAATATCTTGCATTGTCGTTTATCGTACGGTGCTCTCGCGGTTTGGGCTTCCAGTATAATTTCTACCTTTAGTATTTGGGTTGGTTATTGTTAGTAAGGGCGCACGTATATTACAAGGAATATGTGTTATTAAGGTTTAGGGAATTTTGTATAACGCCCAACTGGGTTCAGTACGTATAACGTTGAGGTAATTTTAATAGTATGTTATAAATGACTATCATATAAAGTTTATGTAATATTGTTTTATGGGCTAGCCGTAATTAATTCATAAAAACTTATTTAATTTGTTTTAATAAAATTGAATGAAAATAGACTACTGTTTTTAATTTTAAGAATTGGTCGCTAATATAAATTAGTAAGTAATAAATGGGAAAGAATAAATTAATCATGTATTTACATTACAATTGAATTGGATATTGGTAAATTACCTTATTGTCGGATCAATTATTTATTTATTTTTTTATATTTTGATAGACTATTATTTTTGCTAGTTCTTGGGGTAGTTAATCTATTTCTTTCAAATTGAAAAATTCACACAAAAAGGAAAAGACAAAAACTTAATAGTAACATATAATAACTTAAATGTAATAACCTATTATATATATTTTATTAGACATTTGATTTTTTTTATGAATAAGGGGAGAAATGAGTCTTAAAATGTTGATGTTTTAATCTATTATCCGCTTGGCTCAAAATGATAACTTTATATTTTTAATATTTCTGGATATGACAATCAATTATAATAATTTGTAAAATTTTAAAACTCTTCTGTCTTTATTATTTATTTACACTAATATAGCAAGTATTTAAAGAAACTACTTACATCAGTACAATTAAAAAAATATATAGAAATAGAAAATACATTAGAACGTCACGAGAAGTAGATAGATAGATAGATACTCTTTATTGTTTCCTCCAAAACATTACAATAGTAAACTTATTATAAATATAAATAATTACAAGAAATAATCACAATGAGAAAACAATGGGCGACCTTATCGCTAAAAGCGATCTCTTCCAGGCAACCTTTGGATGGAGAGGAGTAATTGATGTCGTTAGTTGTATGTAAAACTAAAAATCGATTTATGCTATGATTAAAAAAAATAAAAAAGGACAGTAAATTTTAAACACTCTTACAAACTTAATAACCGGACACGCCGTGTTAGCATGGTCACTTTTTATTTTTTCGTTTATCAACCCTTGTGCCATTGCAAAAATCATTCAGTTTTATTGATCGAATGCTCCATCAAAACAACGCTTATCATTGAGATTTCACCCTGTATATATAATACTTTTGTGTCAGAATTAGTATAACTAAGTAAGCTTTTGTCCTCAGCCTGCCTGGAACCCTACGCGACAGAAACCGCCATGAGGGAGTGCCACGGCAAGAGACGGTGTGTGCTGTCAGCCGATAGCAAAATGTTCGGGAAGCCATGTCGCCCTGGTAGCAGAACATACCTGAAAGTGGTCTACACCTGTGGTAAGTCACGTAGAATTTGCTTAGCCAAAAAAAAATTACTAATTTGCAGTCATGAGGGAAATCGTAACAAAATTAATATCGCCTAATATTACTCCTATTCTAATTTTAATTTTTCACAGATACATTAGACAAAAGTGAGGATCGAAAACATTTAAATTTAGAATGCAGTATAGTAAATTCAAATTAAAAATAGAACGAACAAGTAGAGTTTGCTTCATAAAATAATAGAGCTACCTCAATAATGGCATAATTAAAACCTTAAAACTGTCATAATAGAACCTATTACAAGAGTAATCACTATTTCTTAAAAAAATATTAAAATCGGTTCAGAATTATTGAACATGTGTAGAAAAAAATCACAGCCACGTATTTCGTCGACCTCAATGACTCAAATGTACATAGGTGTGATGCGTTGAGTAAAAAAGGTCCAGAAATTAATTCTTGGTTAAATCAATTTTGATATTTACTACATATAGGCATACTACATATAGAATTACTACATATATACATAAATTACAATCTCATCTATTATGCTTTTTGATTAAAATTTATATAATAAATATAACACCAATTGTATATTCTAATTATTCCTATATATTTGTAAAATTAAAATACATGTTTGAAGCTGTATTTTGAAAATGATTTTTGATTTTGGGTAATTTCGTCGAATACATATTATCCAGATATTTGTATCCTAGTTTGAGAAGTATATGTATTTGGTACTTATTAGGTATATATTTTGTACTTGGAATAAATACTGTTTAATGAGAATGAATGTATGAACTAACATATTACATCATTATTTCAGTCATTATTCGTCCAATGCTGGACATACATAGGTCTCCCCTATATACTGCCATAAAGTATGGTCCTGAACGACTTGCATCCACTGACTCCTGCAATATATTTTAGATCGTCACTACATCTAGTTCATGATATATTAATAATGGCGGTGTGTTTTGAGTCCTTAATACGTGCATTGATAAATTAGAAATAATAAATTTTCTCACTTAATAAACTACTTTCATACTGCACAAAATGTAAAATAAATGTTCCGTTATATTAGCTATATAATTACAAACATATTTATTAGATAATGATTTATCAAAAATATATTCTTTTGAAGTAATTTAGATATCCGATGTGCCATTTGAATGTTTTTTTTTTAACGAATAACGTAAAAATATTAATCTTACTTGATAAAGAAAAATTACAGTTCTGAAAGAGGGATCCGTTATTTTCGGAAACTTTTTACAGCCAGCTTATGTAGCAAAGACGTTATTTGCCTTTATTAAATAAGTTACCGTGTTTATTAGGACAAATATGACAGCTTTAAGTATCTGTATTATTAAGTACCTTAACGTGTGGATGCAATAATTGTTCTCTAAATAAAAAAATATTTATACTTTGTAAATAACAATAATTTTAATTAATAATGAATTAAATGTGTGTGAGTATCTTATATAAATAATTTTATACTTTTAAGCTATTTTTCTTAGATAGGCCCTGTTAAATTTTACACATTTTTTCTTAACAAAAACAATTCGCTTTTTATAGAGGTCTTAATGACAAAAAAGTACTAGGAAATCAGAATAATGCAGAAAATATTAACATAATGTAGTCTCATTTGTTTGGAACAAATAATATTTTACCTGTAAGATGACACGTAATACGATGAATATACTAAAACACAGTCAAGAAAATAATTCATAGAGACTGTCTGTATATTTTCCTCTGCTGGATTAAATCAATCATCATCAATCATGCGCTATAAATAGAGGTCCAATATGCCAAATAAAGTACTAGGAGAGCAGAACAATGCAGGAGGTATTAATATTAAGTAATTTTATATGTTTAGGAAAGGTCAGAGGACGAATATGGTGGCGTAGAATGCCTCAAAATATAGCAACGATTTTTTCTTATAATGTAGTTTGCTTTCTTTTGATTCAACAATCGAAATATTATTACAATCTTTATTTACAGTATTTTCTTCAGTATTTACATTTTATTGTTTTGTAGTTTGCCTATCTAATCGACTGCTACCATAATTTCTATTTTAAAATTCACAATTGTTATTTTCGCCTCGTACATGAAACAGGTTTTAGTAAAATATATCGGAGTTTATTTATACTACCCGTACCCGCAACTTCTTAATCATTAAAATATTGAGTGAACATTATTTTATATTATATTAGTGAATTAGTTTTTTTTACTAATGAAGGGTTCCGTGATTAATTACATAGTTCCATGATGATCTCACCTGATGCAAAGCGATAATGTGATCTAAAATAAAGTTCGCGGACTCAAATAGCCTATTCACATTTGCTTTAAATTGATTATATTTGGATAGGAAAACAAAAATAGGTAGAGTTTCACTTCTGGACTGTACGCATGATGAAAAAAGACGCAAAGCGCTTTGCGCATGTAAACGGTATGTCTACGACATAAGGGTACTGTTTAAAATATAGCTTATATCCTTTATGTCAAAATAGTACAACTACATCAAATTTATATTATTATAACTATTGTAAAATAACAGTTTCTTTCATTTTTACAGAAAATTTGAGAATTAATATAGAAGTCAGGTTAGGTATCTTTTTACGGGAGGACATAGAGTGGCAATCTCTCCTGCGCTATTGGTATACATTGGTGATCACCAGTAGGACATGATGTAGGTGACGATGAAATCAATTTAATTGATCTATCGAAACGAATTCGACAAGAATAAACTATGATGGTTTCTAAGCGGAATAGTAAAGCATGGTTGATTGTAATAGTGTATATTGCAAGCAATGGGGTAGTTAGGTCCCATTACTAACCGTCTATTTCCTAACCTAAATGGGGGCAGTTAGAACAGGTTAGTTAGTAGTAAGTAATTACAGCGACTTCGTCCACACGGCCAAGGTAAATAAACCGGGATAAAAGTAGTTATGTGCCTCTCCATACAAAATACTACGTGCGTACTAAATTTCATGATGGTCAGTTGAGTTATTAAATTGCTTAGAAGCAAGAAACAATCATTATTTCACACTTATAATACTAGTAAAGATACAAAATTTCAATGAATTTTACTCGTAACAAATAAATTTGTGAAAGAATTCCAGAAAATTAACTAGTTATAAATGTAAATAAAATTACAAGTGAATTGTTAACGCAAATATTATTTTCTTTCATCTAACACGCTAGCCAATATGTCAGCAGTCGTTTTATATTGCAGAGATCTTTTGCTAATCAGTCAAAGAACTTTGGCCCTATTCCTACTTGTTTTTATTATTTTGTTTTCTCCTGGCTGTTTTTCTTGTCAAAGATTATTTATGGAACCGTTGAAAGTAATCTTTGTAATCTCGATAATAAAATAATATACGAGTAAATTGGTGATGAATCAATAATTTACCAATAATTTTTATCTATTTCCTTATTTATATGCTTTTGTATTAATTACTTTTAATGTAGGTATTAGGTTAAAACAAAAGTATACACTGGCGGAGTTCTTGTCCTTTAAAGGGATTTCTTCCAGTCAACCTTGGGGTCTCAATAAGAAAATTGTATTTAGGGTTTGTAATAATGATAAAATATATTGTAGGGTTATAAAGCATAACAAATGTGGTGCAAAAATAATATTACAAATAAATAAATTACAATACTAGTAGGTATATAGTTAGTAACAGAGTATAAGATAAGAAATAAATAAATATATATAGAGATAGAGATATAGAAAGTGGTAACCGTTGCCTATAGACATGAGCAGTACCATGGACATAACAGAGTACACTGTTTCGCCCATGATACCCCCCATGCGTTGCCATTCCTGAGGACTCAGGTGTTATTTCTATGTACTCGTTTCGATTTCGATTCGTTTCTTATTAAAATGATCAATTATAAAAGTATCCTAATCCAATTTAACATTAGATTCTGTGGCCAAATTACTTTTGATCTCAAAGGGATATATTATACATACGTTGATGTGTCGAACCATAATCTGTACTTGTTCGTAACTCGTATTTCGAATTTAATCTATCCCTAATCCCATTGGCATGATTGTGGTTATTAACCGGCTTTCACGTGCAGTTTCACTAACTAGGGTTGTTATTACGAGTATTTCCTTGAAATATTGATATTTGATACCTATCTGTATGTTCATTTCTAAGAATTTTACCACATATATTGCCCTATAGAAGGGAAAGAGAAATATGCTACATACAAGGAAGAATGAGGAAGGAATAGTTGATATTTTTTTAGCTTAACCTGTAACCTTTTATGTTACTATTTAATATAATTACAAATATAAGAAAAATAAAAACAGTATAATGCCGTGATGATGCGTTCATTTTATTAATCAATAAAATGTTATACAAAAATTTTGTTATAGGCATTATACTTATATACCAGTTAACAAATTCTATATTTTCTTCATCAATTTTTTTCTTGAAAGTGTGTTTTAATAGCGCGATTAAGCAGTTCGTTCTTTTTTATCAAATAAGGCATGTGGTAGTCTTGTCGTTAAATAGGCTATCCCCTTTCTTTCTCATGGGTATCGTAAGAAACGACTAAAATAAATTAATAAACGAGCGATGAGTAGTAGCGCCTCTTTTAAAATATCACCAAAAGCTTAAGTGCTATTACCAACCCGCCTGCCAAGCATGACGTCTACCGACAGAACCTCCCATATGGGAGAGGCCTATTGGACAGCGGACAGTTAATAGTTGATAGGAAATAAACATATAAGAAAGAAAATATTTCCTCTTTATAAATACTATATTCAGAAATAAAATCTTTAACTCATTTATTTATTAACAAATAAACAAATATCGGAATTCAACTCAGGTTTAAAAATGAATTGGTAGCTACCTATTTATTTATCTCTTTAAAATAATTTCTTTCCTTGTCTCGTTCTAAAAGGACATCGATGAAATAAATATCATAGAATAAAATACAAACGATATTTGCAATGATTAGATAGACCATCAAGAAGAAAGTCAGAAATTATTATTCGAATATAA